GTGTGTGTGTGTGTGTGTGTGTGTGTGTGTGTGTGTGAGTGTGTGTCAGAACAAATGTGGAAGTCAGAAAAAGACTGTGGAAGTTGATGATCTCCTACCATCAAGTGACATCTAATGATCAATTCCAGATTAGAAAATTGGTGGAAGGCAGGGCATTGGTGGCACACGCCTTTAATCCCAGAACTCAGGAGGCAGAGGCAGGCGGATCTCTGTGAGTTCGAGGCCAGCCTGGTCTCCAGAGCAAGTGCCAGGATAGGCTCCAAAGCTACACAGAGAAACCCTGTCTCACAAAACCAAAAAAATTGGTGGAAGAAGCTTTAACCCACAAAGTCATTTCACTGAACTGATGAGAGGAACATTTTCTCATTAGTTGTGAGTGGTATGTATCTATTCAGATATCTTATTGTTCCTGTCATAGTCATATGTCTGAAGAGTGATTCAATAAATTCTCCTAGAGTGTCCATAGGCATTTTGATAATTTTTCTTATCCATTGCCATGCACAATTTTTGGCTCATTTATCATCCTCAAAGAATTTCAATGAATTAATGAACAGAAGAGAGGCAAAAAAATTTAAAAAGTACATATTACATACATTGTTTTTTTGCCTAATCCATACTTTCAATGATAGGGATTTATCACAGCAGCATATACTTTATCATATAAACCTGTGTGTTAAAAGTTACTCATTAAAAACAAGAGTTGGGGTCATGATATAGAAATGACATGCTGAAGGAAGAAAATGGCTCCTGTAAGTTGTCCTCTGACCTGCAGTCACTTACCCATGCATTTGTGTGTACAAACACACACACACACACACACAACCAGTCACTTACCCATGCATTTGTGTGTACAAACACACACACACACACACCCAAACAGACACACCCAAACAGACACACACACACAGAGAGAGAGAGAGAGAGAGAGAGAGAGAGAGAGAGAGAGAGAGAATATTTCATGGATGGACTCTGGGGTCAGGGGGAGATGGGAACAAGAGGGATCATATGGTATCGGGGATAGAGGGAGAGATTCATGGGAAAGACACTAGAATGGGGGGTATTACTGGGGTGATGTGTAAAGAAAGTGCAATGGAAACTGCCTGGAATCTACCAGTGTTATCCTAAGAAGACTTCTATTAATGAGGGATACAGAGCCTGAACTGGCCATCATCTGTAACTAGGAAAGTTTTCCAGTTGTTGGACTCAGACATCAACTCAGCTACAAAACATTTCAACCTACAATTTATCCTGCCTACTAGATGAGTGAGGGTAATGGTGGTCCAACTTGAAGAGGGCATCTATGGTAGACAGTGGATGGCCAGGAACTAGAGCCTGGATAACCCAGAGACAAGGATCGAAACAGATACGATTGAAAAACCAATCAATGTAATGATTCTTAAAAATACTGTGCTATACTCATAGACTTTAGCCTAGCGTATTATCATACAGCAACTGAAACTGAAGGCAGCAGATATAGAGACCCACAGACAAACATTAGGAGGAACTCAGGAAACTCTAAGAAGGGGGGTGTTGTAGGATCCAGAGGAGTAGAGGGCATCTCACGAACAAGTTCTCCAGACTCAACCAAGCAGAGCCGGTAGGGGCTCACAGAGATTGAACCATCAATCAGGGAGCCTGCATGGGTCTGAGCCAGGTTCTCAGCATGTATGTTAAGATGTTGTAGCTTGGTGTTCTAGTGGAACTACTAAAAGCAGGAGTAGGGGCTGTCTCTGACTCTTTTGCCTGTTTTTGGGACACCCAACCAACCTTGATATGAATATGTATGTCTACTCTTTTTGTAGCATGATATGCCATGTTAGGTGGATATCCCTGAAGGTCTGCTATTTTCTGAAGGGAAATGGAGGAGTAGATCTGTTTGAGGGCGGGCGGGAAGGACTAGAAGGAGAGGAGGGAGGGTAAACTATGGACCTGAAGTAATAAGAGAAGAATGAGTTAAAGAAAATATAAATAGCTTTCAAAAATAAAAAGATATAATTCAACAAAAATATAATGATTCATTAACTTAAAGAGAGTTTCTCCAATAAAACATGAATCAGATAGGGAGAATATGTGGATTTTCACTTCATGTCTTTGAAAGGAAGTGGTTTGAAGTAAGAATAGTTGTACTAAAAGGATAATAGAAGAAAAATTGGATAACAGCTAAGTATGCTATTGGCAGATACAGCAATCCTATTATAAGTAAAATAATATTTAAATCTTCTAATCATTTAACTACTTGAATGTCCTAATGCTATCAAAAAGCCTTTCTTATCTCTCAAATGCCTTCACATTTGCTATGAATTTGTAAGAGCATTAAGGCTTCACTATCACCATAATTAGATGGACTAAAAAAATAGTACCTCCTTATTTTGCCAATTCCTGATTATTCAGAGTGATGGCAGAAAGCCTCAGCATGGATTACTAAAACCTGAGGTCATTCATGGCAGATGAAAATTACCCTGTACTCATTATGTCTATCCCAATTGAAATACAAATGCATTTATGAGCTTCAACAAAATTGCATTGATACTTCAATAAACATCTCAGTCTATGTAGAGAATCTTGAAGCTTGGAAAAAGTAAAATATATTAGCTACAAGTAAAATAAGCCAATTATTCAAAGCCTCAGTATATTTGCTTAAAGTTGACCAAATCTGAGCAATAGGAAATTGATAGAAGCCACTGGAGGAAAGGGAGTACATGAACTTCGATGGCATTCTTAGAGTCAAGGAGGTATTTCAGAAGCTTATGCAACCAAAAGCATTGAAACAAATATCAGCAAACACTTTCTATTTGATTCTGTGGAATGCAGTGGCAGTCTTCAGGCTCTGTCACCAATCCCCTTAAGTATCCATTGAACTTACTGTCACCTGTTATGATTAATCACTGGGATAATTGCTCTGAAGATGAAACTGAGTAATAAGACTTGCTTTCCATTTGTATAATTATTTTGAATTTTGTAGTATATATTTATTAGATTAGAATGCATAAATCCTGAGTTAGTAACTCAAAACACATCTTTAAAATGCAACAAATGCCAAAAATATGATACTCTTGAAACCTCTGTATCATTTGGAAAATATCCCAGATAATTAAGTATTATAGTAAAACTTGAGAATCTTTTAGTATATACTCATTAATCAAAATTTCAAACTTTTTGTGTTTTTGTATGTGTAATGTGTGTGTGTGTGGGGGGGGATGTGTGTTTGAATATGTATGAACTCATTTTTTGATTGTGTTTCTGCATGAGGAGGCCCAAGATTGTAGTAGGCTATCTTCCTTATTTACTTTCTATCTTGTATGTTAAAGAAGGGTTCCTTGCTGAATGCAGAGCTCATGCTTTTTTGGCTTGTCTAGCTACCCAATTCTTTCTGGGTTCTTCTCATATCTCTTTAAACCCACTAAGATTAGTAGCAAGGTACAATATCCACCAAGCAAACCCTAGCTGTTAATTTACAAATTTAATAATAGAAGTTAGAAACAGTTGTGTTACATGCCAGTCTAGATTTAGACTGTATTTCTTTAATATGTTTTTACTAATAAAGAGTAAACGTCATACTTACTGGACTGCTTCCATTGTAAACACATACAAGTAGGTGTCTTTTATAAAAAAATAATGTTTTACACGCTCCATTAGCATAAGGACAATTAAAATATGTGCATTCCATATATGCTAATTTGAACATTTGATTTTCTGGATGGTCTGATATGTGTGATCAGGAAGCTTCTGGAAAATTCTTGAAATTGATGCAAATACTGTCTTCTCTGTAAGTTGTGTATATGCTACTCAAAATAATACATTATTCACAAACAAGACCTGCCTCTGTTCCCAGGAAAAGCTTAGTCTCTCGTTTCTCTTGACAGTGTGCAGACCTGGGTTCTTCAAAGCCTCTCCTCACAGCCAGAGCTGCAGCAAATGTCCACCTCACAGTTACACCCATGAGGAAGCTTCCACCTCTTGTGTCTGTGAAAAGGATTATTTCAGGAGGGAATCTGATCCGCCCACAATGGCATGCACAAGTAAGGAACCCCATGGCTATTTGGTGATGCTCTCATCCACCAGTTTGCAGAAACAGCATGATGGAGCCTGTTGTGTTTTGTTAACACTTCCCTCTAAAACAGGCACGTGTACCCTTTACAGTGCAGGTCTTTTACACATTTCAAATTACTCTGATGAGCACTAAAAACTAAATTTCCTCTTATGACTGACTGTCAGAGCATCCTTTCCCCTTCACTTTAAGCTCAGCATCCCAAGCACTAATAAACAATGATTACTTTTATTTTTGGCTTAATTTATTATTCTCAACTTCAGCAAATCGTTTTGTCTTTTCACATCAGATTAGTTATATACTGCTTTTAGAAGATAGTTTTCTGAACTAATAATTACACAATAAATGGCAACTTCAACAAGTTCTAGCCTACATCACTAAGCTGTAGGTCTATCCAGAGGTCTTTGCCAAATATGCAGGCAGTGTTGAGAGCATGACAATCAAGGTGGCAAATAAGATTAGAATACTATATGAAATCCAACTTTCAACTTAGGCTTTCATGCAACAGCAATCTTTTTTAGTCACTTATTGGCCATTATCAAAGCTGTGCTTGTGATCAAATAATTAGTGTAGATAAATATTAACCATCAATTTCAGTATTTGTAGTGCACAGATGCACAACTAGCCAAACTTTTTATTTTTCTAATTTTAATATATTCCAGGAAAACCAATGGGGCTAATTACATATTTGCTTGCTTGGTGACTATACTTACAGATATTTTTCATTAGCAAAGTGTCTGTAATAAGTGGGGGAAAGTATGTAAAAAGAAGAAAAGTAAATATATCTTTTTTCACAATGTGCATCTCTGGGGTCATCACTTCACTTGTTAGTTCCCAGGTAATGTATGTATACTCAGTAACGTTCATAATACTATAAATTTTATCATCAGTATATAGACAGAAAATAGTATTGATGACTTTATATAAAATAATCACAAGTTGATTTTAAACAAATTTCAGTGGCTGAATTTCATACACAACTGAAAAACCATTCTTTGTAATTCAAGGTTAGGATTTTGTTGAATAAGTGATTACTAGTCACAAAATACCTTCTATATATGTTAAAGTAGTATACATAATTTTGTCTTGATAGTTTACTGGAATTATATAATTTTTGTTTTAGTGGAATTCAAACTATTCAATATGTAAGATGTAAAAAAAATATGAAATTACAGGAAACAGGTGGATAAGTAAAGAGTAGCACACTGAAAATATGGCACCGGACCGTCTCATACATTTCACAAAGTTCTGTATTAGTAGATTTATTTAAATGATCCAGCCATAGTTTGCTTCTCTTTAGCATAAATATGAATGCACACTTCTGTTTATTTATTTAATTTGGGACTCGAGGTGTCTATGATTTGGTGGTAAGAGCTACATAATACTCCCTTGGCACTAAAGACCACAGACTTCACATTTTCTCCATCTTCAGCTCTGTGAATTGCTATTGTTGTATTCAAAGGAATAATTCATAGTCGTTGATCACAAAATACCATGTTGACTGTGTGTGTGTGTGTTTTCAGAGTACCACAACCTCTCATGATCCCCTAATGGCTTGTCTGATGTTGAGAGGAGGATGTTTAATTTTGTTCTGCCATTGGCACTTTGTACTTGTATTTATGATTTTAATATATAAACTCCGAAAACAAAGTTTTAAACTATAGAAAAAATCAAACAGAAAGAAAAGGCAAGAATCTGATGACTATTCTTTAGCCAAGAATCCTTCTCTCAGCTATACCTTCGTACGCACATCATATCTACTATTGAGGCAGCATCATGTTTTATTCATAGGCTAAGTTGATTCCTTTGATTTTACTTGTACTTCATAGTATCACTTGAATTTTGTTTTCTTGGCAACATATGACCTACAGTTGTGGGTGTGTTATTACTAGAGTTTTAAGTAAAAGAAGCCAGATAGATATAATTATATTAATTTAGGGCAAAGAAAGAAATGCATGCAAATACAATCAGTTGGTAACAATAAAATGGAATCTGACACATTTAAGGTACATTTCATCTTCTTTCTCACATGTTAAGTCCATTTTTAACCTGAAAATAGGTCGCTCCAATTTTTTCTATTAAATAATCCAAAGTTGGTAATAAATAATAATACTTCTATTTATAACTTAGGAAATGTTTATGAGTTAAAAGCAACTGTTGAAATAGAAATATGGAAGGCTGAATGCATATGAAACATCCTAAGGTTCAGTGATGGGCATTTTGGGGATTGTTAGAGGCAAGCAACTCAAGTCCTTAGATATAGAGTTGTGTTTACATGTAATTAAAAATATCTTGAATACTAGTTTTCTTTTAAAATTACTTGCAAACATGTACATCAAAAATGATGGATTAATGTTTTTTTTTTTTTAAAGACATTGAGCGTTGCATTTTGGAACACACAAATGTTAGGCTGACTTAGCAAGATTATTTTTAAAGAGTTTACTTTGTGCTTACAACTCATTCAAATACAATAGGACTCTATTACTTCACCATTAAGGAGAGGTACTGAGTAAGTCTTGGATATGCAGAGATATTCACTTTAATATTTACTGAGACAAACATTAGATCTCAAACAAACAAAAGTCCAAGTTTATTTGAGAACACATGATTACATATTATTTAAAGCTGACTAAAAGTTAAATATTTAAATACTTACAATTTGAAATTTGAGAAATTTCATTTTATTTCCTCTTTGTCCATGATAATTAGGTTTCAGTTAAAATGATATTGACTGTTGTTATCACAGTCAACAAACTTCTAAGCATTTGAATCTATGTATAAAATGAAGAGTATAATAAAAACTACATGAAGTTAGAAAAACTGTCATAGTGTTATTCCAAAATGACAAGAGTCTATGAAAGCTTTTTAACTGCATGAATTTACTTTCTTATAAAATGAAGAGTATAATAAAAACTACATGAAGTTAGAAAAACTGTCACAGTATTATTCCAAAATGACAAGAGTCTATGAAAGCTTTTTAATTGCATGAATTTACTTTCATATTGTGCCAGGCGACAATATTGAAAATATTCTACAAAACTAAACCCTTTGCACTCAGTTTCTATCATCTTTACTAGAATTTCCAACTTCCGTTAAAATTCTGAAGTTGAGTTGCTGTAAATGAAAGAACCTAGTTTATAAACAGTGAGTGGGCTTGACCTTCAGCTTTTATCTCTGAGCTGAGTTCCTTCAGGAGTGCTTCAAATTCTGTTCACTTTCTACACATTCAATTACTTCTAATGGAATTTGTTGTTCAAGAGCCACCCAGAGAAGTCCTTCTACTATACTGTTGTTTAACAGAGATTTCACATTTACTTGAAACTCTCACAAAGGCAGCAAGCTATTCAATGTACAAAGAATTGAATTTAATATGTTTTTAAACATAAAGTTTATGTAACATTTCTGTCAGTAGATAGATTTACTCCAAATCTATGAACATACATATTAAGAAAAAACATCTGATTCTATTAAATAAGTTTATAACAGTCCAAAATAAATAATTTTTTTGTTGTGCATAAACACCGCTACTTCATAAAACTCTAAAATTTTTAAATTTATAAAATATGACATAAAAGATTAATTATAAATTCAGTTTTTCCTAAGGCCAGGGAATAATATGGTCAAGGACACTAATTGATATCATCTTAAATATGTTTTTCTTACTTTACTTTGCAAACCAGGACCCCCCTCACCTCCTCGGAATGCCATCTCAAATGTTAATGAAACTAGTGTCTTTCTGGAGTGGATTCCGCCTGCTGACACTGGTGGACGGAAAGATGTGTCATATTATATTGCATGCAAGAAATGCAGCTCCCATGCAGGTGTGTGTGAGGAGTGTGGAGGTCAAGTCAGGTACCTCCCCCAGCAAATCGGCCTGAAAAATACCTCTGTCATGATGGTGGACCTACTTGCTCACACAAACTATACCTTTGAAATTGAGGCAGTGAATGGAGTGTCCGACTTGAGCCCAGAGACCCGGCAGTATGTGTCTGTAAATGTAACCACGAATCAAGCAGGTAAGTGTTATGCCCAACCCAACACTATATTTTAGACATAGTTCTGTCAATTGCATCCACAGCTGAGATCTTAACAGATGAAGTCCTATGAGACAATGTCCTTGGCGTGTAAAAGGTTAATACTTAAAAGAAACTATAGCTAGAAGTATATTTTTACTTTCAAGAGAATTTAAGGCTTTGTGAGGGCAAATATCCATAGAGCATAGACAGGAGACATATGTTTTAATGAATTATTTAGTTATTTTATTAAACATACATTTCTCAAGTAATCCCCAAATCTACATTTTCGTTGCTTTGCTAATGTGGAGTAGTTCTTTTTAAAATTAATTTGTACAACCTGCTTTATTTACTATTTTTTTCCTTACTTTACACCATAGCTGGATTTTCATTGCAAGTTATAATGATCTTTTTTATATTTTATTCAAGAATATGTGAATTGAGGGCTTTTTCTTGCCAAATTCACTTATAAAATTAGAATAATTGATAGGTTCTATAAAAGCTCAAAAAGCATCTATTTTCAAGTTGCGGTCTTGGAATTATAAAAATGTAAATATTGAAAAAGAAGGTATGCAGGCCCATTTGAGCTGATGAATAGTTTGTATATCTCTGTGGGTTCTTTTTACTCTAATGAAATTCTGGTCTAAGAATTCAACTCACCAGGTGAACAAAAATCTCTGAACACAGGAAAGCATTGGAATGTGCTCCTGTGCTGGTCCTCCCCTGTATCTATGCTGAAAGAATATCACTCTATAGGGAATGGGCTCCAAAAAACCAGTTCATGCACTAGAGATAAATACTGGTTCCACTGCCAAGGGCCCCATAGTCTGTGCAAGCCCTGTTACTGACACCCTCATTTAGGGTACCTGATTCCACCTCATACAGTTTCCCCACCTGTCAGTCTGGTGTGCATTCTAAGCCTCCTCTTGCTCCAGTTAGCTGTTTTTGTGGGTTTTCCCAGTATTGTCTTGACAGCTTTTCTCATCACTCCTCCGTCTCTATAACTGCACTCCAGGAGTTTGGCTGTGGATTTCTGCTTCTGCTTTCATCAGCTAATGGATGAAAGCTCTAGGATGACATTTAAGGTAGTCACCAATCTCATTATCTTGGAAGTGCATGTAAGGTAACTTCTTCTCTATTGCTTAGATTCTTAGTTAGGGTCATCCTTGTGCATTCCTGGCAATTTTCCTAGTGCTAGGTTTCCCATAATAGTTTCCTCTATCAATATTATCTCTCTCCTTGGTATTTAACAGCACATCCGAGAACCAAAATATTCTACTGAAATAAATTAATTTGAAAATTTGTCTGCTCACAAAATATTGTACACATATGATAGCCTTGTACATATACTTAATTATTTGGTTGAAAATAATTTTCAATGGTCATATTTAGAGAAAGCTTTAAAACTTTTAATACATGCACATATTATGTACTTTATGCTAAACCATAAGCTATTTCTAAATAGCATCTCAAAACTTCCAATACTTTGTGTTAGATAGGGTTCTCCACAGTAATGCAACTTAATGAATGATTATCTCTACATATAAAGAGATTTATATTGAATGACTTACATGAAGGGATACATCTAATCCAACAATGGCTGCTTATAAAAGGAAGGTCCAAGTATTCAGTACTTGTTCAGTGCAGAGGCTGGTTGTTTCAGCTTGTCTTCAGTAGATGCTGGAATCTGGAAGAAGTGAGCTTTATATGCTAGTGAAGGTATACACTTGCTGACAAGTGGGCAAAAAAAATATATCCTTCTTTCAAGTCCCTATATAAGTTTCCTGCAAAAGGCATGGTCTGGATTAAAAGCAGGTCTTCCCACCTCAAAAGATCTGGATTAAAGATATGTCCACACCTCAAAGACCAGTATTAGAAGTGGGTTTTCCCAATTCAAATTAAGCAAAAATCCCTCACAGGTGTGTTCCATTTTTGTGTTTGTGTTTTAGTTAATTCAAGATAAAGTCACATTAACAACAAATAGCCATTATCCAACTTAACATTCAAATTACAGAATTG